TGCTCTAAAGTGTGAATTATATAAAAATGATTGTTTACAAGTTTCTAGCTGTCATTATGCATCCAAACAGCATCTTTTTTTTTCTTTTCTTTTTCTGTTATATAATCAAGTGGATATAAAATTATTCTTTAGAATAAAATAAATCAAATTGACTACATTAATTTTTGTAGAAATAAATTTCTGGGAGAGTTTAGTATTAGTTAGTAGTATATTTGAAGGTCTGTATTTAAATTTTGTCTTAATTAGTTTTATTTTGTCTTTGTATTTCACGTGTTTTGGTAATTACACTAAAAACTAAAAGATTACATTTATCTAAAGTAAGTAACATACAGTAATACATGTATATTAAAAAGTAATATACTTAGATTAATATACTTTTGCCTTGATTTTTCTTTTAAGAGAATTAAATAATTTGACTAATTAAGTGAAATTTATACAACCAGCTTGATGATGTGAAGCATAAAGAGACTTCCTATAAAATTAGAATGTATATAAAAATTAGCAAGAAAAAAAACATCCAAATACTGATGAAAAGTGCATGGTTAAGTTAAAAAAGCAATAAATAAATAGAAGAACCAAAAATAATATTCAAAAAAATTGACCACTTGCCTCTAACAATAGAAGAGAAATGATTTTTAGATGAACAACATCTTGAGTCATATTTTAAGGCAGTCTGTTTTCAGTTTTCCACTGTTCTGTGCTAGTTTTCAGCTTCTAAGATGCAGACACTTTTCAGGTTGCTTAGTGACCAGTTATCTTCAACAGGTGAAGAAGACTAACAACTCTCTTAAACACCTGCATCTCATCTGTTTTCCAATTAATTCTCTGTAACCATTCTATAGTACTAAACTAGGTTTTCATCCAGTTTTTCTTAAGTAGGGGTTCAGTTTGATACTGAAATGTAATTTCTTTTGAATAAATAATAAAAAAATGACACCATTTGCTCTGCTTTATGTAGTCTTTGTAAAGGCCTGCTTATGTGAAACAAAAATGCTAGTATTGTTTCTTTATACTCAATAATAATAAAATAATAATTAGTTAGTGATACATTTGGTGAGAAATTACAAGGTTAGCAGATCATAATTAATTGCATGTCTTTTACATTTTACTTAATATATATATATATATATTAATAGTTATTAATATTATTAATGAGTGTTGTTAATAATAGTAGAACTTTAATTTTTATAAAATTTCAAGTTGGACTCTACTGGATTGGAAATATTTAGGTTTTTAAATAAAGATATTATATGGCATTAAATTTTATTGATGAATCATTTAAAACTCCTTGAATACTTACATTTTAAGATACTAATTAATGCAAATAGCTGTTCATTTGAATAAATTTTATCTGATGAGTTAGCCCAAATTTAATGAATAGATGTTTAGATTTGTCATAGATGATCTATTTTTTGCATATAAAATACTTGATACATTGGATAAATATTTATTCTTCTATGTGCCATGTTTCTTCAGGACGTTGGAGATCCTGGCTACCCACAATTTCTTGTTTTTTTTAGCTCTTAATAAATTTTCTTTTTGTTATCTCTCCTAAACTCTGTTCTGTTTACTCAAACTCACTAGGTAGGTTATTATATGTTGTTTCCCTCTTGCCTTAAATCTGTCCTGTGAGTATTAAATTTTCCAAGCCTTCTTTATTATGTGTCATAAAAATTTCAACTGTTTTTTTTTTTCTGATGTTAAGTATATATATCCTTTCAGTTTCAATTTTCTCTAAAACTGTTGTTACTCACATGTTCAGTACATGGCATTTTCATCATCCTTCTGTAGAACCACATTCATGTTGCTTCAAGTCTCATCTTCATCTATTGTCCAGCATTCACTGCCATAAAGGAGTACTGATATTACATAACAATTCAGTGCTCTTTTTTCTTTTTCTTTTCTGACAAAACTTTTCCCTGTATGATGATTGACGTTAAGAAATATCAAGCCTGGTCAGTACTTCAATGGGTGACCTCTTGGGAATACCAGGTACTGTAAGCTTAGATATGCAAATTGTATAATGGATAATAGCTCAGAATTGTTAATAGGAAAGCCAAGTTCCAATTCCTGTTAAGTTCATTATATTCACATGATTCATACCTTCTTAGGAAAAGTGTGAATCCATCTCTTTCCCCACAGCTATGGGTTAATTAGTAAAACCTGTATCACTAAATCATTATGTCCCCGCCAAGAATTCTTACTTTCTAAAAATATTTTCTGTTTTAAATAACCTGCAAAGAGTTGATAATCCATACAAAATCAATAAATCAATCAAGCTAACAAAATTTTTCTGTTTCTTAATACTTTGCTTAGCTTTTGTTAGCCATCTTTTGCCAATCCAATGCACCTTTGGATTTCAGTGTCACACTTTCTGTCCTCTGTTAAAACACTTCCCAGATAATTAAATTGTTTGATTTTGATATCTCTTGGTAATTTGTATATTGGACTGTTCCTTTTGCTAACAACCATGCATTCTATCGTCCATGGTATTCTCAGCATCCTTCTGTAGAACATAAAATCTGATGTTGTTTACATAGCATTGTAATAAAAAATAAGAAAGAAAAAATAATTTTATGAACAGGTTTTAACCTGGTGAATTTTCACGCCGTGCTTATGAAGAAATCAAAGACTATCACTCTCTTCGATGCTTCATTTACTAAGTGACTAAATCCATTTCTTTCTATTAGGTATCAGTTGTACTAATTTGCTTATTGGATCACTTGTTCACTTAAGAATAAACTGCTTAAGACAGCATATAATGCTACAAGGCATTTTGTATTACAAATATTATTAGGCAAAATAATTAGGCAAAAAAAAAACAAACATTAAAGTCTGCATTTGCAGTATAAAGAGAATAAAGGTTGTTATTCAATCAGCTTAGTTTTGGCACAAGGCTGTAATTACAATCTTGTGTGTAATAATGATATGTGATGTTAGAGAATATGAGAAAAACTATTATTAAGGAGAGTGGACAAAAAAAAAAAAAAAATAAGAATTAGGAAGATGGAAAATAATAATTGACATTGATTTAAATTTTTGAAGATCATAATTGACTGGGAAGCAAGAAGCCATAAGAAAGTTCCACAAGCAAAAAGTATGATAAAGGAACTGTTAGCATAGAACTTAGGGTTATATCTAGCTATTTTAACTGTAAAATGATGAGACCTTGCCACTAATCTAGTACTGCACTTAAATTCATAAAGTATAAGTACCATAGAGGAAAGTTCATCAAAACAATTACCATTATGAAATTATCAATAAAACATTTAGTAATTTTTTTTTTTCTTTCTAGAAGTACTCTATAAAAGAATTTAGAAATAACATTGGGGAACACGGATTTTATTGAATGATATCTGATGCTTGATTCTAAGTAATTTGGGTGCGCTGAATTCAGTTTGGCTCTATCAGTTCCTGATTCTGGTCAACAGCCTGTGTCATTTTCCAGGTTTTTCAAAAATTGTTTAAATGTCAAATAGGATAATTTGACCTTTAAATTCTCAAAAAAAGTATATTTCATGTTTTTTAAAATTTTACTACAAATTTGACTGTTTCCAAAATTCACCCTTTTTGGCAAGGGTCAAAGGGTCTTATCTCGGGACTTCTTTGACCTAGAGATGTAAAATAGGTACCATTGCCTGAGTTACAAGGGTTATAGTGAGTTGAGCCAAATTCAAAATGGTGGATTTTGGTATTTGCTACTATTTTAATCCATGAATGGTTCCACTATTCTTCTATCCCAGAATGAGTCTTTTAATGCTTATATAGTATCCTAACATTTTGTAGCCCATTACAATATTTTTTATGATGTTCGTTGGTTATTTTCATTTTTATTTATTCTTTTGACAAGTTTATGCTTTACTCTTCACTGATATTGAATATTAATTTTTCATATGATCAACACATTTGAACAGGTAAAGCAAATTATATCATTTGTTAGATATGGTGATTTTTCTAAGCATAGCTTAAATGTGGCACAAGGATGGAAGTATGGGGCTCTCAGTGAGAATTGAACTCACTATTCAGTTGTGACTGACCTAGTGAGACAAACTTGCTAACCATTACACCACATTGCAGTGTCCATATCATTTGTTAGATATGTTTAAACTTTAAAATATTTTAAATTATCGTTTGTAACTTATCAATACCCACCATAAAATTTGGTACTAATTATAAAATAAAAATCAGGTATTATAGGTTTCTAACAATTAATGTTCACTTTCCCTAAAATGGGACAGTTGGTATTAATGGTTAAGCAGTAATTGGTTATGACAGGAATTCCATTTAAATTTAAAGTTGTTTTTTAATTAATTTCATTAAATCTTTTTTTAATTGGAACCATCACCTAGCTTTGCATTCTCTTTCTTTCTTTCTTCCTTCCTTTCTTTCTTTCTTCCTTCCTTCCTTTCTTTCTTTCTTCCTTTCTTTCTTTCTTTCTTCCTTTCTTTCTTCCTTCCTTTCTTCCTTTCTTCCTTTCTTTCTTCCTTTTCTTTCTTTCTTTCTTTCTTCCTTTCTTTCTTTCTTCCTTTCTTTCTTTCTTCCTTCCTTTCTTTCTTTCTTCCTTTCTTTCTTTCTTCCTTTCTTTCTTTCTTTCTTTCTTTCTTTCTTTCTTTCTTTCTTTCTTTCTTTCTTTCTTCCTTTCTTCCTTCCTTCCTTCCTTTCTTTCTTCCTTTTTTCTTTCTTCCTTTTCTTTCTTTCTCAAATTGAAACCATCACCTACCTTTTATTTCTTTTTTAAACGGACTATTTTAAGAAGACTGCACTGTATATTCTATTTCTATTCATTGCTTGATTGACAATTTTTTTTCATCTCATTTCCATATCTAAATTAAACAATACATATAATCGATTTTTATGTCTTATTGATATCATCTGTTTTAAATATATTGACATATCGTTTTTTTTTTTTTTTTTTTTTTTTTATTTCTGTTCACAGTTACCCATATCAGCTGAGTGCCTCTGCAGGACCTCCTGTTTATGGAGCACCAGGTCACATCAAAATGGAACCAACAATGAACCCAGACTTTTCAGGCAAAAGAAAAATCAAAACGGAGTTTGAAGAAGAAGAAAAGTTAGTTGTTCAAATGTTTAGTGCCTAAATTTTACTTCTGTCTTCGTATTGCTTTATTAATGTTTTTCTTCATTTTTTTTTTTCTTTTTTCCGATTTGTTAAAAAAAAAAAAACTTTTTATATAATATGTGTTCAAAAATCCAAACATCTTGGATCAGATTGGTCCAGATCTTTAGGCTTTTTACCAGTACTGGCAAAATTTAATTTTAGGTAGAAATAAAGGAAAGAAAGCAATACATTTTGATTGATCAATCATTTACAGTTTTATAGATTTTTTTCATTTACATTTAGGTTTTATAAAAAAAATTCTTTTGGCAATTTTATTGTAAGAAAATGATATCTATGAATTCTACAATTTTATTCCTTGCATTTTTTTATATTATAAATTGTAAACTTCCATTAAAACAGTATTGCCCATGCTACATTCTATATTTTTAATTATCTTGTCACTCAATTTCAATGTTTTTCTTCCTCTTCACAATACAAAGCTTACCTACTTCACAAGCAATTATGTGTTTGAAAATAATATATATGGTAGGCAAAAAAGGAAATAAAATATGTAGCCTTGTTACAAATTAATTCCTTGATTTAAAAAAGAAAAAAAAGGCAACTGTGTTTGAGGTTGTTACTGTTATGTATCAAACAAGCATATTTAAAATGTTTGTAAACTTTTCAGAAGTCCAGATTCTTTTCTGATCTGGATTTCTGGACTTTTCTATATAATATTTATATATAATTTTCCTAAGTCTACATTAGAAAACTGCAGATACCTATTATAACCAGTAGCTTTCTTTAATTTATCCAATGACATCTGGTGTAAAATACTTAAATCATGTTCTTTCAATATCTGTTTCTGAGGATTACGAGATAATGATTGAAAGTACTATGACTGATATGTACCATTGACAATTCCTGCATAGTCTTATACCAATTATTTATTTGCTTGTGTGACTAAAACTACATAAAAAAAATTAGCCTAATAATTTTTGTCTGTCATATTCAATGCATGTATAAATGAAAAATTTCTGTCCAAATATAAAGTATGTATTAAGCAGAATTAAATCTTTAATTCTATTTTCAGAACTTGTCATTCATAACAAAGTTAAAGAAAGAAATGTCTAATTTCAAAACCTTTCTATACAAATACTGATAGAAAATTGTTAAAATATTTATGTAATGCTTGTAGAAAGAGTAATGAAATTTTTTTTAATATTCCTGATAAATACTTATTTAGATAGATATTTTTAATAAATGTATTTTTGTATATAAGTATACTCTGTTTACCTCTCCACATGTACACCTATCAACATGTTGAGATTTGTCATAAAAATTTGAAGCGAGGTTTTTATAAGGATGGATGTTCTTTGTGATGTTCAACTCGGACACTCATGGTAATCCAAGTACACCAAGTGTTTTTATTGAGACATCATCTCTAGGAAGGTTGCCATTCAAGACTTGGGACCCCCATCTTAGCTTTATATATATATATATATATATATATATATATATATATATAATCTCGACAAGAGGAAAAACTATTCTTACTCTAGTTAAGAATAGTTTTCCTCTTGTCTTTTTTATTTATTTTGTTCCTTTACAGATACACTATATATGAAAATAATTTACACATTATATATATATATATATATATATATATATAATGTGTATTTAAACAAACAATCCTTCATTTATGCATGTTTAATTAAAAATGACAAGGTACTACAGTTAAGCTTTTTATTTAGCCATTATCAAGGTTGATTTTATTTTTCAGTATGAGTGTGTGCGTTATTTTTATGCTTTTAGTGTGTTATAGAGGTATTTTATTTTCCAAACACAGTTAGCACATTGTGGCCTAGATCATAGTCAATATTGTTAAGAGTTGGTTTTTTTCTTGTTTATTATTAGGGCTTCCATTATTTTTAATCTTTTTTTACAAGTGGATGAGGTTATTATGTTTGTGTTTTCTACTCGTATGTTTCAAATTGAGTCTAGTAAGTTTGTGTATGTGTTTAAATGGGTTCTGAACTCTGGTCAGATAGATGTAAGGTAAGGCGTCTGGATAGGCATGTAATTATGAGTTCAGTTTGATCAGGAACACAATTCCTTAAGGAGCATTTGAACTCCTAGATAATGTTTGTTCATTGTAATTTTGACTTAGTGGGTGTGTTGTTGTTTTTGAGGATAAGGTTAGCTTTCTTAAATTTTTAATAGTAGATAATTAATTTGATTTTTTATTCAGGTCGATTTGGGTAGTGTATTTCTTTATAATATTTCTAATTGAAGATTCATCTTGTTTGTAGTTAATGTGCATTTGGTTTTTGTAGAAAATATTTATGTAATTTTTGACTGTATGTTCACTATCACTGTTATTTACTTTGGGGAGAAATAGACTAATTTGATGGTGGTTAGGGAAGTCATTGTTAATTAGTGTCTGTTTTACATTATTGAGTTCTTTAAGGAAGAGTAGTTGAGAGGATGAATTCTGGTGTGCTCTTTTTAGCCAACTCTTAACAATATTAACTACGAACTAGGCCACAATGTGCTAACCTTGTTCGGAAAATAAAAGACCTCTATAACAAATTAAAAGCATAAACATAACACACACACTCAATTAAACTGAAAAATAAAATCATCCTTGATAATGGCTAAAAGTATAGCTGAAAGTGCTCAGAATTATAGAACATTTGGACAGTTTCTACACATTCTGTGTCCAAAAAAGAAAGCTCTTATGTGAACACAAGAAAAATTAAATAAAAAGCTTAACTGTAGTACCTTGTCTGTTATTTTTAATGAAACATGTGTGTGTTGGCTATTGGCTGCTATGGGAAGTTCATCCGCCCTTTGACAGATCTTGTTTCTCATGCTGTTGGGTGATATGCCATCTTCCTCACCAGCTGTATTGGGTTATATGTTACCAGTAACAGGCCAAAGCCTGACCTAAACAGTTCACAAAAATTATATTCATACAAGGAAGTTCTACTCTCAAATATTTTATGACAATACAGGAAAACAAGATGGACAGAAATCAAAAATAACAAAATTACTTAAAGAAAGTGAAAGATTCACACAAAGTAAATAATTGAAACAAGATCTCTTGGCAGCCATATCACAACTTTGGATTTGTAAAGATTTACTGCACATTTGACTCTATCTATACATGCAAACTAAACTCAAGTTAAATAAATGAATCCTCCACCTTGGATTGAAAATTCTTATAACCTCACCCACACAATACTTGAGTTATTTCTTTTGTGGGTGCGGTTGCCATTATCTCCTAATGTAGATCTTACCTCGAATACATCTACAAAAAAAAATCTTACCTGATTGCATTTTCTAAAACATGAATTTTTCCAAATAGAGCGTATATAAACTTGACAATAAATATTACGATATTGTTTCAATCAAACACGTGAATATGACTAAATATTGAGATCTAACAAAAAACCGTGTAGCATAGTCCTGAAAATGGATGAAAAATATCTGAAACATTTTGGAAATCTGTTAACCAAATTAATAGAATGGCTCTCATTCTCTCCAAATATTAATCTAATAGAAAACAATATCCAAGCAAAGATCTCTGGGAAACAGTAAAATCTATTAATGTTAAAGTTATATGAGTAAAAATATTTACAAAATTGATAGATAAAAGTTATAGTTCCAGGAACATATACTAATATTTACTAACATGTAAAATAATAATTTATTCAGATATATATGATATTGTGTTAGTCAAATATCTTTCTGTGTCCAATATTTTTTTTTTTTTACCTCATTTATTAATAAAAGTTTCTGTTGCACTTAATTTATTAAATTTGACACTTCCTAATCAATTCCTCATCCGTATTTTTAATAAAGATAGATATATTGTAAGTATAAACTGAAAGTTTTAGCAACATTGGTTAATATCTATTTTATTATAAAAATAATGACATGAATACTAAATTCTGGCATTGTGTGTCTGTGTGGCTTGTTATTTTTTATTTTTTCTCATATCTTGAAGATATGCATACATATATTTATTTTTAATAACACACACACACACATATATATATATATATATATATATATATATATATATATATATAATATATACACACACACACACACATACAAAAATTAGGGTACATCAATAAGTCTATAACCTGAAACAGCTGAATTTGATATTAAATTTTCACTGTATAATATTTGATCATGATAAATGTTTGATAATGTTAAATGAAGAGCATTATGAAGGAAAGGGATTCTGTTTGTAAATAAATATTTGTTCTGTAAAATAAAAGCTGTTTTTTTTTATCTTTAGCCTACAATCTTATTGACGTACCTACACACATTTTTCTGTACATTTACTCTTATAGGGTATCTAGCATTTATACATGGTTATTAAAAGCATTATTATTTCATAGCCTGTCTTCATTTACTTCACTCCATTTATTGTCCATGTATTAAAAGTTGTTGCAGACAGAATATGGTCATCTGATATTTGAATAAGTGGCCATGGAGCAGTGAAAATCCTTCTCTTCCCTACGCCTCTTTGCTCCAGATCACCAATTGTGTCACCATAAGATACACAAGTGCCAAAGTTTCAATATTTTTATAAGCTCTATTGAATAGTGAAATTAGGAGCCTATTGAAACTTGTAAAAGAGATTAATTAGAATCTTTTCCCACTCCCAGCCTTATACCACTGCTATCATTTGATGTTGAGTTGATATTGCTATAATTACTTGCTATATGAATGAATGGCCAGCATTTGTGGCTAATGCTAGTAATATAATGACTCAGACTATATGTTGGTGATAGCTTTCATTTCTTTACTTTTCTTTACAAAACCCAAGAAGTAATGTGCTATCTAAAATTAGGTATTATTAGCTATCTTATACTTACTGGATCCTGGCCCTATAATCTAGGCTCTTACTATGATGATAATTTTTTTTTTATTATTTTAATTTTTCTTTTGATGATTCTTTTGATCCAAAGATTATATGAATGCTTAAGTAATGA